CATACTTGACACTTTACTAATAAACAAGAAGAAAGGAAAAAAGGAGGAAAATTAGTCAATAGATTAATTTCTTAACATATTATGTCAGCCCTTGTGATAAGCCTTTTACGTACATTTCCACAACATCTCTTAAAGAAGGTATTACTCTAGCTCTACAAAAGGAAAACAAGCTCAGGGAGGTTATGTTACTTACCAGACTTTGACAGTTAATGAGTTTCAGAACTACGATTTGAGCCTTCTGAGTATAACCCAAAATGTAAACCAATATGCCATATTTCTAATCAATTAATTTCAAAATCTGCCCTCCAGAGCTTTTTCACTGATTTAAGGAGGTGGTGTTTACATACAATGAAATGCACAAATCTTAAATGTACATTCCCCCAGTGTTGATGAATATAAACAGTTGTATAACTCACACTCCTATCAATATATATAACATTTCCATCGCCCAAGAACATTTCCTCGTTGTTTGTTCCAGTCAATCCCCCCTTGCTACAGTCGGCATAACACAGCCCTAACAAAATGCTGTAAATTGAGTGACTTACAAACAACAGACATTTATTTCCCACAACTTTGGAGGGTAGAAAGTCCACGATCAAGGCACTAGCAGATTCAGTGTCTGATAAGGGCCTGTTTTCTGATTCATAGATAGTGCCTTCTTGCTCTTTTCTCACATGGTGGAAGGGGCAAGACGATTTTTGGAGCCTTTTAATTGGGATTCAGGGCAGTAAATCCCAATTATAAGGGCTCTGCCCTGCTGACCTAACCACCTTCCAAAGTCCCCACCTCCTAATGCCATCACAGTGGTAAGTAGATTTCAACATATAAGTTTGAGGGAGACCCAAACATTCAGACCACAGAACCACTGCTTTATTTCATCACAGGTAAGTTTTACCTATTCTGGCAGTTATATAAGTGAAATCATATAGCATATACTCTTTTGTGGAAAACTTCTTTAGCTCAGCATTTTGAGAATAATTTATATTGTTTGTGTATATCAGTAATTTGTATATTTTTATTGCCAAGTAATATTCTTTTATATAACTAAAACAAAGTTTATTTATCTACTATTTTATTGATGGACATTGGAGTGGCTGGCTATTATGAATAAAAATGCTTTGAACATTGTTGTACAAATCTTTTTGTTGACACACATCTTCACTTCTTTTTAGAAAAACCTAAAAGTGTAAGTGCTGAGTCATATGTTAGGCATATGTTTAGCTATATGAGAAATTGCCAGACTAATTCCCAAGTCATTTTGTCATTTTATATTCTCATTATCAATGTATGATGATTCCACTTGCTTCACATCCTCAACAACACTTGGTATTGTCAGACTTATAGTTTTAGCCATTCTACTGACTGTGTAGTAGTAACTCATTGGTCTTAATTCACATTTCTCTAATGATTTATGGAGACCTAGACATCAAAGAAAACACAGGCATATATCTTAATGACTTTAGAATAACCAAAAATTCCTTTGACAAGACACAGAAAGTACTCACTACTAAAAGAAAAGCATAAGCTACAGTAGACTTCATAAAAATTAAAATCGTAAGAAAATAGGTTTAAAAGCCACATGTATGTGCGTACAATATATGCACGCAAAGGACTTGTACCTAAACTATATAACAATTTCTATAATGCAATTTTTAAAAAATCCAGTGGAAAACTATGGGTGAGAGACTTGAACAGGCACTTCACAAAGGAATACACACACACACACACACACACACACACACGGGCTAAAAATCACATGAGAAAATGTCTTATAGCATTTCATCATTACCTTTTATAGGAACCATCATTTTTTATTTTTGTGCAGTGATTTGTGAAAGTATAACTCCCAACCCAAACTGCATAAACTTGAAAGTACAATGAACATTTAAGGCACCTTTATCTTACCTCCAAGGTATATATACATGTGGAGGAGTGGAGAGACTCACAAATATTTTTAAATCACTGACCAAATGAGTTAACATTGTATATGTTAAAACATTTAAGCAGATAATCAATATTGCAAACAAACAAAGCAGTAATAAGGCACTGCCTGGAGAGGAAAAAGAAATTAGATAACAAGGGAAATAAGCCTAAGAAGGTGGGAGCGGGGAGTATTTCTCACAGACAAATGAAATGACATTTAAAGTGCTAGTGTAAAATAAAAGAGGAAATGTGGTTAGTAGAATAAAACAACAAAGATAATCTGAAGCAAGCTTTCCCAAAATAAGACACCTACCCTTTTGCATGGGCAACCCATCTCTGTGTGGGTAATTTTGCATTGACAAAAGCCCAAGGGAAGCTATCAGACCAAAACAGGAAGCCGTGCACGTGTGCTCAGGTGGAAGCTGCCAAAACATGCCCCTTGTGTACTCTGATGTGCATTCTGCTTGCCAGAAAACTCAGATTCCTTGTCAGAAGTTAGACCCAGAAAATGCAGATAGCATCATTCCTGCATCCACAGTAGTGTTTTCAGATTCTGGTGACATCATCTAGGAATTCTCAGCACATCATAATTCTAACTCCTATAGGGCATCCTCTTTCTAAAATTTGTCCACTGAGTCATTTGTGAGTGGCTTATACGAAATCTACTCGTCAGTAGATTCACAGACTACTGTTAAGTATTTATAGTAACTCTGTAAGCAATTTCCTAGAACTATATACTTGAACCAACTCTGTAATTATTTTAAAATAATAATGTACACTTTGTTTCAGATGATGACCTCAAGACTCAGTTCTGTTCAGAGGCTAAATCTCGGAATATATTTCTATAATCTTATTTCTATCTCAAATTTCAAACCTTGTATAAATCATTTTATTTCCATTGTGAAAGACTTTTTTCTCTCCTTATTAGATATTAAAATATCAGAACTTTGAAACGTGGACATTCTGACCAATAAAAGCAATTTTCATGATTTTTTTCTTTCTGAGATTCTCATAAGAAAAAAAAAATCCAACCTTACTGAATAAGTTACATTTCATGACTAGAGCAGTAAATAAGTGGATTAGAGGTACACTCTGGGTGAGGTTTATTCTGGGAATAGAAGGGAAAACAGAAGTTTTTAAAAAGAAAGAGAAGAGTTTAAAAAGTTTAAGAACCTTAGAAAAGACATTCCAGAGGATGCCTTATACTTCACTTTAAAATATGTGTTTGCATGTGTGTGTGTGTGTGTGTGTGGAGAATGTATGGGAGTTAGAAAAAGAAAACCTTAAGTGAAAGTTAGTTTTGTTGGGAAAACCTTCAAAGCTGGATTTTCCTGTCATGAAACCACACATAAAGCTATTTTATAAAGCAAAGGAGATGGAGCCAGTTAACTTAGAAATAGATCTAATTCAAACACTCATTCATTCATAATTTAAACCCTCAAACAGGAAACATGGAATGTTCCAAACTTAACCTCATCCCCTTCTTCAATACATTATAAAACTCAAAAGACATAGTTTTGAAACAAATTAAAGATATTATTTTTATGTAAAATATAAAATGTATTATTCTAAAATATAGGTGGGTTTGACCAGTGTGAATCTTGTATCTTAGTCGCACCCAAAAGTCCTATAAATGAGTCCAACCTAACCTCAGAATGCCCATAAGTACATGTGCAGTGAATTTCTAGCTGACCACCTGGACTTCAGCCCAAATCGTCATGCTCTCCTTAGCTTCCAGGTTCAACATCTCAGCTCCCGACATTGCTCTAAGTTCTTCTGAGTTTGGTGCTCTTGTCTCAGCCTTTCATTCCCACTATGCTCTCAAGACTTTAGTATTCAGTCTCTCACACCAGATCTCCAGGTGGGAGTCATCCACAAAGCAACTTGATCCAGGTTGGTGAAACCAATCAAACATTTGCTTATGCCCAACAGGAAAAGGGTAACATTCCGTAATTATATTTGCTATCTTTGTTGCACAAGCATTCTCTTCTTTTTCTGGGAAATATCGCCTAGAAACTAAATCGAATGCAAGAGATGGCTTGGCAGCTACCAAGAGAAATCATTGAAATAACTCCTTGAAAGTCATAAACTCTCCAGGAAACACAACTAAGGACTGGCCATTTGCTTTTTTAAGGATCAAGCTGAACAAATTTTCTAGCTGTTTCTAAGAACTAGAAATTGTCATTCATTCCATTATACCTTGATAAAGGTGGGAGATATGAAATCGTTGACACCAACTTAAAGGAATTAACATGTCTGGGAAGGTCTGGAACGACATTTTGTATTTCAGAGTGAATATGCAGACACATAAATGAGCCGAGCTTAAATATCAGGGTGTTAATATATTAAAGATTCATAAAACAATAGCAAACATTACAAAAATATTGCTTTCCTTGCACACTCTGCTCAAAGAGAATTTCTCATTTTACTTTTAACATTTGGATCCAACTGATTTCATAACCATCTCTTAGATGTTAAAATGGAAAATAAAGGGGGACTCCATGTATGGATCCCCTTCCATGAATACTCCCCTCGTGGAAGCCTCTTTTGTCCTCCTAAACTCCATCTCTCTCTATTCCCTTCCACTCAGTGTGGAAACTGCTTTCCTCTCCTGGATTCCATCTTTCTGGATTCTCTCACTCAATGTGAGTTAGCTATTTCTCTCTCTCTCTAAATAAATCACTTTCTACAAACACTTTTGAGTCCGACATTTACTGCATACTGCACCCATGGTCCCCTCTGTCATTCTTGAGAAGGCAGGAAGCCAAGAACCTGGAGAAACATCCTCAGAGGGCAGCAAAGTCACCCTGAACCCCATTATTACATTTTGCCGAGCCAGCCAGGAGGGGTACACCAGAAGAGGGGTACACCTGAAGAGGGATACGGCCAGGAAAGGGGTAAAGCCGGAGAAGACAACTTAGAAATCGTAAAACCAGCCCCACTGTGTTGTCTCTAAGAACACATGAAGCAGCATCCAGGGAGGGCTTTGGCGAACCTGAGCAGCGGCACCTCAGAGGCACGACCCAGCCCTGTTGAGCGGCGTAGCCCAGACAGAATTAAAAGCACAGGTTTTTTACCTTCAGGCTCTCTCTCTGCTTTCTGTCTCCTCCTTCGGATCTGATTTCTGGAACCAAAACCTGGGGGAGCCTGCAGGGCAGAGCAGGTGAGCACTGCCCCCGGGGCTTTTGCTCCTTGGCTGTAGGGAACAGCCCAGCCCCAGGGGTGGAACCGAGTGTGCAGCTGTGGGCTGGAGAAAACAATCTGGACGGGCGAGGTATAGCAGGAGCCTGCGAGGGACCTGACGGGGAGCGCGGCAGCCTGGGGCATGGCTCTGACAGGCCGCTCCGGCCTCCCCAGTCCCAGGCAGCAGGGTAAAAAAGGCTCCCCAGGGCATCTGCCTGCCAGCCACGGGTCTCTGTGTGGGCAGTAGCTCGGGAAATGGCCCAGGCATGCAAGTAGTTCTGGCGGGATCAATATGGCGACCAGAAGCCACGGGAGCCGGGAACTCGCGGGGGCGGGGAAACTCACGCTTCCCAGCAGCCAGCGCGGCTTTTAAACTGACTCCCAAAGCGGCTTTCTTCCTCTGCCAGTGCGGCTCCGAGGGAAAGGGAGCGGCCAGAGCGGCCCCGCCCGGCTTTTAGGCAGGCCACACTGCCTCAGGGTGCAGCATTCTCATTCAAAATAAGGCTTAAGAAAGCTTTCGCTTTCCTTCGATACAAGTGGCTTGTTTGCACAGTTGGCTAAGGTATAGGGTCTGCAACCCCGAGGTTGCGGGTTGAAATCTCTTGTGGAGTCAGTCTTGACTTGGGGAAATTCAGAAACTGAGGGCGATGGGACTTTCTCTTTGGTGTGTAATTTGTCTTGCTTAGGATTGGCTCTGTCTCTGGCAGAATTTTTCCGTCTAGAAGATCATGGTTAAACTGGTTCCAGGCCCAAATAGTCAATGGCAGGTCTCACAACCTTAAGAGCATTTTCCTGCAAGGGAAGATGGGTTAGGGGAGAGGAGGCCCAGGTCCTGAGGGTATTGTTCCAGCCTCAGCCCCGTGGCCTGCCTTCTTTGATCTGTGTGCTCTAATGGCCCCTCCCTAGAAGTTTACCCTTCTGGGGCAGTTTTATAAATTGGCCTGTGTAAATTGGACTTTTGTTGGGAAACATTGATACCCATCTCCTGAGCCTCAGTGGCTTCATTGGGACTCCTTGGTACGTGACTACCCAACCCAATAGCCCCTCTCATTCCACCCCTCTATGGTAGTCACTGGAGGTCATGCAGGCAGGGAGAGTGGACCTATGATGCTGGTAGATCGTGATTCAAATCCAGTATATAGGAGGCCCTCTGATAAGATGGATCATGCATCTTGGGCACACGAAATTTCAGGGTACTGACTGAAAGACATTTCATTTTAGTACACAGTTTACCTAGGGGATGCCTCGGGTCGAAGTGGCTGTAATTTCTTTAACCAGGGATGTGAGCATCCCTTGTGTTTGATTTCAGATGGGTGCTTCTATTCCCAAGCTCAAGTCCATTAAAGTATATACTGGAAAATTGGGACCAATTTGACACACCGTATTTAAGGAAAAAGCGGCTCATTTTTCTCTGCCCAATAGCCTGGCCAAATTACCCTTTGCCGAATGGAAAACCTAACAGTTTTCCTTGTGTGACTGCGGGAGGCTTAAGGAAGTACATCCCCCTGTCACCAGACTCCATAGAGGGTCAGTTAATAAGAAAGGACAAGTTTATTACTTATTCAGCAGCAGATATCAGGCAGAAGCTCCAGAAACTAGCTTTGGGGCCAGAGCAGAGCCAAGAATCGTTACTGAACCAGGCAACCTCGGTGTTTTATACTAGAGACCAGGAGGAACAGGCTGAAAGAAATCCGAGAGATCAGCCTTAGTCATGGCTTTCAGACAAGCAGACCCTAGGGGCTCAAATGAGGGAAAGGCTTGGCTTAGCTGCCAGTCTGGCAGAACTTGCTACCAGTTGAGTCTGAAGGGACATTTTATAAGAAATTGTCCCCAGAGGAATGGTCCATGCCCCCTGTGCTGAGGGAATCACTGGAAAGCACACTGTCCCAGGGGATGAAGGTTCTCAGGGCCTGAGGTGTCTGACCAGATGACCCAATGGCAGGACTGAGGGTTCCTGGAGCAAGTGCCAGCACAAGCTGTCACCCTCACAGAGCCCCGGGTAAAGCTGACCAGTGAAGTCCAGGAAGTCAGTCTTCTCCTGGACACTGCATGGCCTTCTCTGTATTTCTCTCCTGCCCCAGAGACTTGGTGCTGGTTAATTCTCTCCCCTCAGACTCCTCTAGGCCCATCATGGGAAGGACCATTTTCAGTCATTCCGTCCACTCCATCGGCAGTTAATGTAGTGAAAATAGACTCATGGATTCATCACACTTGGCTGAAGCCTTGGATACCTCCTGAGAAAAGTCATGGACCCTCCACTCCACAGCCTGAAGTTCCAGGAGACAACCCTTCATATCTCTGAGAGCTCTTAGAAGATCTGCATCTGCTTTTCCAACAAGATCCTCAGGGAAGTAACCACTCATAAGTCTAATTTATATCCTGGCATTAACAGGACTATAACCCTCAACTTTGCTATATTTCAAACTCCGATTATCTTTTTCATAGTGGGAAGGGAACCTGTCTCTTCCTAGGAAAAATGCTGCTATTTTGTAAACCAGTTAAGTGTTGTTTTAAACATTGAAGTCAGGAATCAATCAAACAAAGGGCTAAAGACCTTCAAGAACCTGGCTCTGTTCTCTCCTAGGCTCATTTATAACCATTTATATTTGTTGGCCTCTGGGCTTTTCATCTTTAACCACCTTGTCACATTTGTTTCTTATAGAACCGTAAGGTCACAAATAATCCTGCCTCTGGAACCTCGGACGTCCTTGGCTCATGGGTGCTATCGTGGACCTCTAGATCAACCTGCACCCCTGAAAGGCTCCCTTCTGGAGGAAACCTCAACTGCAGGGCCCCTTCTACGCCCCATTTCAGCAGGAAGTAATTAAAGAGGATCGAGGTCCGTAATTCCAACAGAAGTTGGACTTTCCTGTTCAGGTGGGGGGAATGAGGGAACGTGTTCACTTTCCGTGTCCACGAGGGGGCATCGTTTTAAGGGCAAGAACTTCCTAGTGCCATGCCTCCCTCCCATCTTTCTCCATCTGGGAGATTTAAGGTTTATGTTTGAATTTCGTGGGCGTGGGAAGAAACTACGGGTCAATCACTCCAGCAGAAGTTTTAAGGAACTCTTTTCATTGTCCTGGGGTCTTAGAGAAGGTGGAGGTTCCTCCCAGATTAAAAGTCCCCTTCTTCCACACCCCTTGGGACTCCGTGTTTGGATCCCCTTCCACAAACACTCCCTTCGTGGAAGCCTCTCTTCTCCTAAACTCCATCTCTCTTTATTCCCTTCCATGCAGTGTGGAAGCTGCTTTCCTCTCCTGTATTCCATCTTTCTGAATTCTCTCAGTGTGAGTTAGCTGTTTCTTTCTCCTTCTCCTGTTTATCTCTCTCTCTCTAAATAAATCACTTTCTACAAACAAACAAACAAAAATGGAGGATAAACATATTTATCTCTAAGCAAAATATACCCAGATAACAAGAAAAAATGACTACACCCAAGATGCTGTCTCAGAGGTATTATTCTCTAATTGAAGACAACCATCTAAAACACACAATATACACACAAACTTTAATGGCAGATCCGAAGCCACAGACCTAGATAAACATAAGGAAAGGAGAAACTGCAAATACCAAATTGCAGAGTACTCTTCAAAATGTGGGGTGGACGTACTACCTCAAACCACTCCTGAAGCCCCATTTATTTCTCATGTTTTCTTAATGAGTAGCTAAAAAGTGAAATTAAAAAAAAAAAAATGCTGTGGCCAGGATTGGGAGAAAACAAAAGTAAATCGTTCAAAATTCTAGATTGAGATCAAGGTAAAGGTAAGTCAATTACAGCTATCACTTTCTTCATCCTTTCCAATGTATGGTAAATGGACTCTGAGAATACATGTTTGGGGCTGTTCATCTCTCCTTGACTGCCCTCTCTCAGGGTAATGATGGCTTAGATTTTCCAACAAAAAGTCTGATATAGAATATACATACATCCTATAAATCATGTATGTACATCATTTTTTTAAGATGTGTTATATTTTTCAAATGCTCAAAGAGGGTCTCTTACTTAAAGGACTCCCTAAAATTATATATGTCTAAGTTCTAATTTTGGCATTTGGAACTATAATTTGCATCATATCAGAATAGTATTCCATTTCAGAGTCAGTGAATGGGTTTGCCACACCAGAATGTCAGACTTCAGCATGTTATTTTTGTATTTTGTTTTACATCACAATTCGGATCTTTTGTGACTACCTATCCCTTTCTAATTTGAATTTTGCTGGATGGTTTAAAGATTTTAAGTTCTTTCTATCCATCCTTTAAGATCCTTAGTTAGCTTCCCTCCAGGGTTTTATTCGTGCATAATTCTTTGGCACCCCAGGTAGCAGGCTCTGAAACAGTTTTTGAGCTGTGGCCCCCAAACCATCCCAAGGAAAATGGGCAATTTGGGAGCATCCTGAAGGATTTGGTGCCTGGGGTAATGTGTACTGTTTCTTTAGTGAATTAGCACCTCAGAAAAAGATTGTAAAGAAGGTGTTCCTAATGGCATGGAGTGCAAAAATAGGAAGCTGATTCAATCTGTTTCAGCACTATTTGGTGCTCCGTCAGCACTATCCAAATTTTAGACTCTGGTTCAAAATTGATAACCTAGTAGATGATTTTAGCCATGTTTACAGTATTTGGAGATACTATTTAGAAGATGTCAGCTGGAATCTGTGATCTTGAAGGCGCTTTGAATGAGAATGGGGTTTATTTGGTCATGGAGAATTCAACTGCCTATCTTGTTCTCTGGTGCTTCTTTGCTGGAATGTGATGCAGATTGTCCAGGGATCTCAGTTCCAATGTAGATTTTTTTAAATTCTGTATTTGACAATAAATTTATAATAACTATTTTAAGATCTAAATATATAAAATGAGTAAAAAGGATACCTGCATTATTAGAGTAGTAACAATGATAGCTACCAGTTATGGTGTCCTAACTACGGCAGTTACAAGACTAAGCTATTCACATCCATTTAATCTTTATAATAATGCTACAACTTAGGTACTATTACCTATACTTTTTACGGATAAAGAAACTAAGCCTTTACATTGCTAAAAATAAAAATTGTTACCTTAACGCCAAAGTCTAAGTTTTTGACCTTTACATTACACTGCCTCTTTCTCTAATGCATTTAAGTATACTTTGAAAATGTGTAACAATCTCTATAAATGTCAGGTGGTACTCTTACCATGGCTGCTGGAAAAGAGTCTTAATCTTGCACTATTCTTATTGCTACCATCTAAAGGAAGCAATTCCCTAAAGTGGTATGAATCGTGCAGCTATCCTTGTGAGCCATTTCAGTGAGTGTAGTTGTAAGTTGGGAATTGGGTGCAGTAATACTTCAAAACCAGTGTTTTACACTTTTAAGAACTCAAGATATAGGCCAATGTCACAAGAAGCTGTTGCTATATATTTCTGAGTGAGAGAGGGAAGAGTCTTGATTAAAAAAAAAAAAGCAAACAAAACAACTACTTCAAGGCTGATGAAGGCCTACCTTGGATGCCTGCATTTTTCTGAGGCAGTGACAAAGAAAACGTTTGCATTAGGAGAGCACTTCAAAATGAGTTCATTTATCCACCCTGGGAAGATACCCATATGTTAAGTTCTCTAAGGAAAAGATCTTGTTGCTGTGACACCACAAGTTAAAGACGTTTGTTTCCATTATTCCTCACTATTATTCTGAAGTGAGATATCGATTGAAAGTCAAAGGTCAATACTCCTGTAGCAGAAAACTCCAACAATATGTTTAGTACTTCAGTAACACTTCCCCAATTTTTGTGGATATGATGTCTCATAGTTTAAGGATTATTGTTTTCATACATATTTCTATGAAAAATATATTCTTTATCAGTCTTCCCTGAAGAAAAAGTAGGCATCATGGTTGAGACGTGAGACTGTTTTTGCCAACAAGTCGATTACATGGGAAGCAATAAGCAATTGCAGGTTATCAATAATTGCTTTGTTAAGCAAACAGATTTTAGCAAGTTCTCTCCAGTAAAATATTACTTTCATGACATCAACCTTTTAGCTGAAAAGAGGAGTTAATCTGTTGTTGAGGCAACCAAAGTGATCTTAATTACAGCTGTGGGTTTGGTCTCATCCGCAGATTAGAATAACTCTTTTATTGATCTCAATGGATTCTTGAATTTTCAAGAATTATCTTTCTCTCTCTCTTTCTTGCACTCTCTCTCAAAATTGTGCAAGAATCCTCAGGCCTGAGCTAATGTAATAAACTTCTGCTTAGGAATTCAAATTATGTACCTACTCCACCATTATCAGTAAACACTGCTTTGGAACAGGCACAACAAACAACCTCTGTCAGTTGACAGGGGATGTCGCTACATACTGCTGGATAAGGTATGCTACCTGTGATCACATACCTTCAGGAGGGAGCAGATGCGGTGTATTAGGGTGAGAAATGTGAATAAGGAAACTTGGTGACCATCCAAGCCAGTAGCAACCCAAGAACTGTATGGAATGTGGAAAAGGGCTACAGTGCGCAACTAGTTTCTACCCATTTCTATTTTTTAAATTCTTGTTTTAAAAACAATGAAAAAAAAAAAACTGTCCCTAGTATCCCCTTTCAGCATTTTTATTTTTCTCTGCCCTAAGGAAATCTAATTTATTGTACACAATTCTTATTTTGCATTATCACCAATTTTTCTCATTTTGTTTTAAATTGCACCATGTTTTATTCTGGAGGGGAAACCTTGAAAATTTCAGCCTCTCATAACAACAATGTGGTAGAGAATGTTTAACTTTTATCAGCCCATATCTAAAGATACAAGTAGAAAAATCACAGGGGTTCTATGTAAACTGTTATTTCTGATTTAATGAAAGACAATGACTTTAACCAATTTATACATATTTTCAACCTTTAAAACAATGTGGAAAAGTTCTTAAAAGACTTCTGACAAAAGTAGCTAAAACAATGTATGTTTACAAAGGCAAAAGCCAGAATGAGAGGTGAAAATTAAAACTAATAGGCAGAGTCTCAAAAGTCTAAGTATTGTGTTCAGTTTGAATCTTAAAGAAGGGTTTGAGTGGTTCATATTCTATCTAAAATGGTTTGCTCATAAATAATAAATGATAGAAAGGCAGCTTCCGTAACTAGTCCCTTTCCACCCAAAAAGAAATTTATGATTCCTTCAATATTTTAAATCATTTCAGACTGCGTAAAAAGAATCCCTTTAGGTATTACTCTTGACCAAAGTTCTACTCAGGCAACTTGCTAGAATTATATTCCATATAAGGCAGGGTTACTCAACCTCAGCATAATGTGGACCAGATAACTAACTGATTGTAATAGGGAGCTGTTCTATAATCTGCAGGATGTGTAGCGCCATTCCTGGTTTCTAGCCACTAGACACCGGTAGTGACTCCCAAGGCTGGCTGAGAATAAAAAATGCCTCCAGTTATTGCCAAATGTCCCTTGAGGGAGATAGGAACAAAATTGCACTCAACTGAGAACCACTGATACTTATAAGAAATGATTAGTAGTGTCTGTGTATTTTGGGAAGGCAGAGGGTGCAGTTTCTTACTAAAGAAACCTAACTGATAGATAATTTCTCCTTTAAGATGCAATTTTGCCTTGAAAGACATGGCCACAGCATTTGGCATCTCCTCTCATCAGATGTGAAACGTATTTCCCCCATCCTCAAATTTGGCCTTGCCTTGTGAAGAACTTTGACAAAAAGAATGTGCAGAAGTGACATTGTGTGATACCTGAAGCTAGGCCTTGAAAGGTCTCCAGGCTTCCAGTTTGTTGTATTGGAGTGCTGGCCTGAAACCAATACAAAAGGAAGCCAGTCTAGCCTCCTAGAAGATGAGAAAGCACACAAAAGCAAAACAAGATGCTCCAGTGAACAGCAAGCACCAATTGCCAGACCATTTTGGACTTTGCAGGTAAGTCTATCCTTCAACCAAGTCACCCTCATGGGTGAGCCTGGATGAAACCAGCAGAGGAAGCACCCAGCCAACCCATAGAATCAGGAGAAATAAGGAGTTGTTGCCGTTTTAAGCCTCTAAGTTTTAGGGTGGTTTGTTATACAGCAAGGACTACAAACAAATGATTCCTCAGCTTGGGCTCAAAGTATGCTGCTATCAAATGACTCCTATATGTCCCATGAAATGTGGTGGATCAGATCCAGAGAGGTAAATGACTCATGGCTCAAGTCATGAAGACATAGATCCTAGTGTTTTTCAGAGATTTCATACAACTTCTCAATAGCATATTTCTCAATAAGGAAAAATACATTTATCAAATACAATATCAGCAATGTAGGAAGTATATAAAAGAAAGAGGGGGAGGCTATAGTTTTAAAGCAGATTAAAACAAAATCCTGGCTATAACTGGAAAAAAAAATGATGCTCTAGAAGAAATTGGAGCATTTCTTCTAGAAATTAAATTAATAAAGATTATAAAGGTTTCCTATTGATAATTTATCAAACTGGCTATGCTGGAAGAATTTTCCCAAAGTTTACTTTCATTTATGGTTCCAGATTACAGTTGATCAAAATAGAAATTCACATGAGGTTTTTAAAAGTTGGAGGTAGGCCAGGCATGGTGGCTCACACCTATAATCCCAGCACTTTGGGAGGCAGAGAAGGGTGGATTGCCTGAGGTCAGGAGTTCAAGACCAGCCTGGCCAACATGGTGAAAACCCATCTCTACTTAAAAAAAAAAAAAATTAGCCAGGCTTGGTGGCACATGCCTATAATCCCAGCTACTCAGGAAGCTGAGGCAGGAGAGTCACTTGAACCTGCAAGGCAGAGGTTGCAGTGAGTCAAGATCATGCAATTGCACTCCAGCCTGGAGAAAAAAGGGAAACTCCATCTCAAAAAAAAAAGAAAAACAATGGAGGTGAAGCTGTAGTCACTATACTCTGAAGTTTGTCATGGCTAGATACAGTGAGGGAATCTGTGGGGATCACTCCCATGTGAGGCCCCTGGGAAATGGGCCTCGCCATACAGTGAGCTTGAGCCCAGACACAGATCCCTGGTTGGGGGAGTCGAGCTGAGGGAAAGCAGGAACCGAGAGAGGGACTATGTTATTCTAAATAATTAACAGACATTACTTTATGGATATGAGGACTTGGGAGGCAATGTGTCCACTTTCGGCTTCTTATGGTTTATTGCTTGATTGTGTTCATTTTGGACCCTTGTTACCTTCCTTGTAAAATATTAACTTAAGTATTTACACTTGGTAACTTACTTACCTAACTTACTGGGTGTAACTGTAACTTACTTCCCATAGCTTACTGGGCATGACTGTAACTTACTTACATTGATCTATTGGGTGTAACCTAATTACTGAAAGTAACCTACTTACTGGGCGTAACCTACTTACTGGGCGTAACCTACTTAATGGGATTAACTTACTTACTGGGTGTAACTTCGTGGGCGTAACTTGCTTACTGTAACTTAAGTACGTTGATCTGGTGTAAACAACTTTGACTTCAGAAAAGTATATAATGAAACGTATTGCAAAAATAAAATGGCTGCTTGGACATAGCCTAAGCCAGCCCTCCAGACTCCACTTTTCTATTTTCTTTCACTTCCGCGCACTCTCTCCCTCAGGTTGAACGAGACATCTACGTTGGTGGTCTTGGGGACTCCTGCAGGTCAGTAGTCCCCTGGCAGACGGGCCGGACCCCGACAATACAGTGAAAGACAGATGCAGCCGGACGTTGTGGCTCACATCTGTAATTCAAGCACTTGGAGACCAAGACGGGCGGATCACCTGAGGTCGGGAGTTCAAGACCAGCCTGACCAACATGGTGAAACCCCCTCTTAGAAAAAAGAAAGACTGGTTAAGGGAGATACTGCAAAAATCTAGTCCAAAGCCGATGGAAGTTTGAACTAGTTTGGCAGAGGTTATAATAATAATCAGAGTTAAACAAACCAGTTTGGCCCAGCACGGTGGCTCACGCCTGTAATCCTAGCACTTTGGGAGGCCGAGGTGGGTGGATCACCTGATGTCAGGAGTTCAAGACCAGCCTGGCCATCATGTTGAAACCCCATCAGAAGAAGAAGAAAGAAGAAAGAGGGATGAGGAGGAGGAGGAGGAGGAGGAGGAGGAAGAGAAAAGGAAAGAAAAAGAAAAAAAGAAAGCATTCTTTTAGGCCTGGCATGGTGGCTCACGCATGTAATCCAAGCACTTTGGAGGCCAAGGCAGGCAGATCACCTGAGGTCGGGAGTTCAAAACCAGCCTGACCAACATGGTGAAACTCCGTCTTTAAGAAAAAAAAAAAAAAAGACAGATGCAGAGATGCCTATAAATTCCAGCTTGTCTTTACTCACTTCACCTCTGTTCCATGACCAGTTCTTCTTTCCATCTCTGGCAATGCTGACCAACTGTCACCCCAGACACACCACCAGACACAGAGGCAACAGCTTTCCTTGTACTTCCCCACCATCTCTCCTTCACAGTACAACTTCAGCACCTGGACGTGCTTAGCTTCCCAGATTTTCCTATAAGCTACTGGTTCTCTCATACCAGTGTGTGAAAAGGACCACTGAGTGGTTTCTTTATCTGATTCTTCAACTCCTCCTTTTGGACATCTCTTGAAATGTGTCCTCACGTTTGTATAAGGTCTTTTTTTATTATGGATTCCATATATCATAGTAGTTTTGTTTCCCAGTTGAATGCTGACAGATACAGTAACACAACTATTCAGAAATGAGATGTTAAGAATGAGATTTTGCTCTGGCATTCTATGTGATCACAGTTTTATTTTAAGGATCCCATATTAGTTTGCTTTTCTAGCACTAATATGGTGCTAGAAAATGGTGGTGCTGGAAAATGTCCTTACGTTATCAAGTACACACAACTCACTCATTCTTCACCTGGCATGGAGAAACAGAGGGTAAGAAAAATCATTAAAATCATTCCTGCCCCTCACTTGCTCCAGTTATGAATCCAAGAGGACTCAGAGTATTTTTACAAAATAGAATGGGGGGGCCAGGCGTGGTGGCTCACACCTGTAATCCCAGCACTTTGGGAGGCCAAGGCGGGTGGATCATGACGTCAAGAGATAGAGACCATCCTGGTCAACATGGTGAAACCCTGTCTCTACTAAAAATACAAAAAATTAGCTGGGCATGGTGGCGCATGCCTATAATCCTAGCTACTCAGTAGGCTGGGGCAGGAGAATTGCCTGAACCCAGGAGACAGAGGTTGTGGTGAGCTGAGATCGCGCCACTGCACTCCAGCCTGGGTAACAAGAGCGAAATTCCGTCTCAAAAAAAAAAAAAAAAAAAAATAGCATGGGGGATTACGATACTATCTAAAAAGGTAAATATCTCCTATACAAAAATTATATTGAGAAATGATAATTGTGGACATTTTTTAAGACGAGAAATAGAGAAAACTAACACATGATATTTTGATGAGAGAAAAAAATGTTTATGGCATTTGAAGGAAAATATGTCAGAAATAATTTAAATAGGTTTCAATGCCCATCAAAAATACCAAAATACCAGAAGAAGAGTTTGTAGGCAAATGTAACCTTGAGAGGTATAAATTAGTAAAAAAGAAAAAATTTTCTGTAAGACAAATTCAAATGTGTCAGGATGAAATAAATGCTAGGCAGTCCATGCTTCATAAAATTGAGCTTTGGACTTCTGAAAGTATGAGATGCACAAAAAATTATGATATTTGTGGTATACTCCATGGTAACTACAAGGAGTCTGAAATTATAAAAAAAAAAAAAGGCTACGAGACTACAATTCTGAAATATATATATACACATATATATGTATATATGTTTTTAAGTTTGATGGATCAAGTCAAACAAACATATGCTATTGGTTTTCACTTATTTTAGGTTCTAAATACTTAACCCTTGGCAAAAGCAGTTGCAAGATCTATACTAGTGGTTCTCCAGAGTGACAAGAAATCACTCTGGGACTTGCTAAAAATAAACCATCTGTACTTATACCCAGAGATTCTGATTCAATAGATCTTGAACAGAACCAGGAAATTTGTACTTTCTCAAAATATGCTAGGTTATTCTGACTTAGACAGTCCAAGGTCACACCTTGGGAAACAGTTATCTGGACCGGACAGAATCGAATTCCACTTATGTATCAAAATACATAAATGTTATTTAAAAGTTTTAAAATAAAACATAAGGTCCACCAAGCCACTTTGCTAAAGACAAAGAACACTCAACCATACCATTTGCTTTTGTCCCCAAGGAAAATGCATGTAAGTTTATTATTTGTGTGTGTGAATGTGTGCATCAACATCCTGTGATGATGACCTTGATGTGGTTGGCAGCTGTGCCTCAGGCGTGAAAGCGTGAGGGTCTCGAGTTTGCTAGCAGGCCCAGGAAGGTGGCTCCAGACAAAAGCAACATCTTCTTTCATTGTGTATTGTTCATTCCAAAAAATGCATAAAACCGATCACGTGAATTTCCTGATGCAAGGAAAATCTGTATTTTCTTTCTAATAGAGTATATTTAGGAAAATTAAGGAAAACTTTGGTTCATTATAAAGTGTTTACTTTCAGCAAAAGAGGTAATGTTCAAACATTTAGTTTTCAAAAACAGCAGAGGAATGCACATTTTGTGTTTAAGGATTTCTCAATAATTCAGATGTGAAATGGGATATCAATTTTCCAAACTTGGCATCTCAATTTTGCTTATTTTTCTCTGAGTGAAAATGGCATATCTGAAATGTCATTGCATTTAACAACGGCAAGTGTTTCAAATGTTCTCTCTTGCATCCCTGCTTTGTAGACTCTGTTTTCCCTGACTGAAATGGCTTCCCTATACCTTCTTCACCTAACAAAATACTGCTTTCCCTAGACACTCAACTCAGACTCCATCTCCTCCAGAGGCTTTTCTCTGAAATGCCCCTCTCCCAACTGCCTCACCCCCTGATATCATAAGATATTTTCTTTCATTGATTTATTCATTAAAAATACAACTCCGCCACTTAATTAGCATGGCTTTCTTGAGTACAATTTTCCATTTGTTTTTACTGTCCAAAACTTATTTTTAAGTACAGATTGCTTATTTGTTTTGTATTCTTTTCTCTGCCTGCAAGTTGGGCTGTGTAATGCCAAGCAAACTGTGATTAAGAAAATTAGTTTTGCTTTTAATCAATTAAATTAAAAAGGTGGCACATGAAACTCATAGCTCCTTAAAATAATGACTAAATAAGGAAGAGGTAGTTTAATATTTAGCACAGTGAGAAAATAGTCAAAAGGTAATAAAAACAGATATTTTTAAATAGATAAAAGTGACAAATCTATATAATGTATAGGGTTTATTCCAATAACCTCCAAAATTAATATCTTATGAAAGAGTGAGTGCAAATCACTGCACTTCATTCAGTGCAATCAGACTGAACCTACCATCTGCCTGTAAAGCTATCATTGCACAGGCTTTATACCCTTGGCAAACAAATATTGTTCAGGTAGGAAGATGAACACATAGGGAAGGGCAAAACATGTACATATTTCAAATGGAAAACTACTTATTGAACTCAGAAAGCATAAAGACTTCAAATAGTTTTTCCCTACATTCACTCAAAAATCTATCACTTTATATCATCTTAGAAATCAAGAAGCTTTATGATTTCAAATATAGTCCAGGTTGAGATGTGAGTAAAGATGTATTTATCTTTTCAGAAGTCTAATACCTGGTTTGTTTATATATATATATATATATAATTTCTTTTTAAAAAGAGGAGGACCTACATTTTGGTTTCTGAGATAGGCATGAACAAATATATTGATATAAATTATTCCAAAAGAAGTAGATATTGATGTAAAAAGAACTTCTCTTCCAGTCTCTAATGCCATTGCAAAAGGTTAGATGACAATGATGCTTCTGGACCACAAGAATTACCTCTTAAAAGATTTCCCCCATCCAGTCCTGTCTTCTTTCTTTTCATCTTTCATGGTATTAACAAAATCATTTTCCTGAAAACTTTTCATCCTGGACAGACGGGGTGGCTCACACCCTTAATCCCAGTACTTTAGGAGGCCAAGACAAGAGGATTTCTTGAGGCCAGGAGTTTGAGATCAGCCTGAGAAACATAGCAAGATCCCGTATCTACAAAAATACAATGAAAAATAATAAATCGGTGAGGTGTGGTGGGATGCACTTGCAGTCTCAGTTACTCGGGAGGCTGAGTCAGAAGGACTGCTTGAGGTCTGGAATTCGAGACCAGCCTGGTTAACATAGCAAGACACCATCTCTATCTAAAACAGAAAAACACAAATTTAATCCCTTTTCAGCTACCTACTGTGTATATAATAAAATCCAAACACCTTAAGAAAGTATACAGAATGAGGAGCCCCAACTTGCTGTTCAGATCACCTCTCTCTCCCACCTTTTTCTGTGTACCTCAGAAGAAAACACTTTAGTGTTTGAGATGTTCATGATATTCCACTTGATTGAAATCTCTATGCCTGTGTTGTCTATCCAGCGATTAACATGGAACCTGACACATACTAGACAGCAATCTGCAGATTTCAGATTCAAGATGGTTGGTTAAAACATTTAACAATTACTCTCCCTTTCCAAATCACAGGAAAAAAATGAAGGTAAAAATATGTTCATAGAAGCACTAAGGAATCTGTGACCAAATATGTGTTCGAGAAAAAGCTCTTGCAAATTTTGATGGTTTTCAATTTTTAAGAAAAATCTGGGGTTTTTTTTGTATGGACACAATAATGAATAGATTAGCAACCTCAAAGATCAAGCAAACAATTGTCCTAGAATGCATTAAGAAGGGTAAAGGTGTAGAAAGTGTGAAGAAGCAGAAAAAATAAAGTATAGATTTAAAAAGTTTCAATTTCTACTTAATAGAGACTCTATAAAGACAGAATTAATAAGGAACAAGACTTGAATAATGAAAGAATAATTAACAAATTTACCTGAGCTAGAAAAAACTGATGCAGATCTTTAAAAGGACCATCAACTGCCAAACAGGAACGTTCATAACCTGGAAAAAATGTAGAACCTCAAAAATAAAGAAAAATTCACAAAACCTTTACAGAAATATAAAAAGAGTTTTTGGCTTCAAAAGCATGAAATTAGAATGAGAATACAAAAGAATCACCTGCAAATCTGGATGTTAGAAGACAATGAAAAAATGTCTTCTTGGGTTCTTTCTAAGATTAAATTATTTTGAACCTAGAATTCTATGTCCAGCAAAATTATCAATCATGTATAAGAGTAAAAGGAAAACATTCATGGCCATAAAAAACTCTGACAGTTTAAAATCCACAAACTTTTTACATAAGAATTACTTAATTCAGTACTCAAATGAAGCAAAATATATACATGTATATACATGTATATACACATGCAATAAAGAAAAAAGCATAGGATAAAAAAGTAGAAAAAACAAAGTCATTAAACTCTTGATTCAATTTAGATTATCATTATTTATTAAGTAACAGACATTTAAGGCAATTGTATAATTCTTATTCTCTAGAAATAATGTTTTTAAATAGCAAATATATACACATAAAATAAGACAGTATTATATTGCATATTCCTTTATACCAGTATACTGGTAAACCTAGAAATCAAGATTTCAGAATACTGGATTCTAGGTTACAATGGGTCCTTAATCTTAGATGTTAAAATAAATTATGTATTTCCACTCACCTCTAACTGAAATTTAGCATGGCCTTCAATTATGAATCTAGGTAACGAACATAGAGATATTAGCAATATTTGTGACAATAATCAGTACAAATCACAGAAATGTTGACTGATGCTCCTCAACATATGATAGGGTTACATTCTGATAAACCCATCATAAGTTAAAAATACCTTAAAGTCGAAAATGCATTTAATAATCCCAAGCAATTGAACATCATAGCAAGGCCCCATATCTACAAAAATACAATGAAAAATAATAAATCATAGCTTAGACTGTCTTAAATGCACTCAGAACACTTACATTAGCTTACAGCTGATCAAAATCCTTTAATACAAGGCTTATTTTATAACTAAATGTTGATTATCTCATGAAGTTTATTGAATACTGTATTGAAAGTGAAAAACAATGATTTTATGGATACTTTAAGTACAGTTTCTATTGAATGCATATTGTTTTCACACCATTGTAAAGTCGAAAAATCTTAAGTTGAACTATCGTAAATCGGGGACCATCTATCTGCCTGTCGCTTTTCAGTTGATGCATCTATGTGAAACTATCATTTATGACAGTCATTAGATCAGCCTATAGATTGCACATAATCTCCAAGTTTCTGTCTACAGATTCTCCTGTAAATGAGCTGACCACCCACCAGGCAAATGTGCCTCCTTATCTATGTTCTCATATTGGTGACCCAGCCTCTATTTTGCTCTCTAAAATTTTTATCTACCTATATTCATCAATACATGAAAGAGGGTGAGGTTTTTTTCATTACTTATTAAAGCTTTGCAGAAGAGGGCAGTTGAAATGAGAATTTTTAACTCTCCATAAGGCAGTACAGTATTTTATAATATAGATGACTGTTGAGCTAAAAGTATTAGCCTTGGAAATTCAAACAAATCCCAATTGAGATAACTGTTGAAGTATTATTTAAAATTACTTCTTATTATTCGCAGGTTGTGTGGTGATACAGGCCATACGTGTTGCAAGTTGTATGGGTAGTAGTTTCTTTTCTTTATTTGGCTTGCTCTTCAATTCCCTTTCCATACACTGTGTTATGAGGCAAAGGAGGCAAGCACACAGAATACATTATTCAAGCAGGTTTTGTGCGTTTTTATTCCATAAAATTACTGAGCATATTGAGATAGCATTGTGAGAAAACCATAAATGTAAACAGAACACACACACACACACACACACACACACATTTTTGTAGGAAGGCACGGTAAATCATGTGACTCCACTCCCAAGTAGGATTTTAAAAAATGATTCTAAGAAGAGGTCTTTATCAACTTCATCAGCTTCATCAATTGCCAAAGAGTTCCATAGGGAAGAAACAAATCCCTAATCTAGATGAAGGACAAAACAGATGTTTTCTGAAGATAAAAACTAACAAAACGAACTTAGGAAGTAGAGGAAAATTGAAATAGACCAATAATTACAGGAGAAACTGAAGAAGATAATCTTTAGTTGACATACACACAGCCACACGCGCGCGCGCGTACACACACACACACACACACACACACACTAATATCACCCTTACTAATACCCAAAGACTTGTACCAAAATGCTGCTATCAGACTTTCAAGGAACAGATTTCTTTGAGCACCGAGTAAAAGGAAAAAGCCAAGAAACTGAATGAAGTTTCCCAAGTCATTCTACAAGTCAAGCAGAATTAAACCCTGATATCAAAACTAAAAAAAGCATGTCTACATAGGAAAACTGTTAAAATAATATTACATAAAAATATATACAAAATTTCTAAATGAGATAACAGCAAAGCAAATACATTTCTTCCATGTAAAAAGAAGGAAGAAAGAGAAAAGATATACAGTTGATAAGGTTTATAAGTTAGTATGTGGAAGTCGAGACTTCAATTTTTTCTATATTATGAGACATTGTCAACCTCTGAAAGGGAAAGTTGAAGGAGATTCATGGAAATCTGATTTTTGAGGGGAGTGGAGACCATTAGAAATAATAGTGGCAGACAGTGGGAGGGTGAGCTAACCAGAGAAAATAGCAGGATTGCCACGTAGTATTTAGTGTCTTAAAAGGTGGGACAGGCCAGGCACAGTGGCTCACGCTTGTAATCCCAGCACTCTGTGAGGCTGAGACAGGAGCATCAGGAGCTCAAAACATAGAGACCATCCTGGCCAACATGGTGAAACCCTGTCTCTACTAAAAATACAAAAATTAGCTGGGTGTAGTGGCACATACCTGTAGTCCCAGCTACTCGGAAGGCTGAGGCAAGAGAATGGCTTGAACCCAGGAGGTAGAGATTGAAGGAAACCGAGATCGAGCCACTGCACTCCAGCCAGGCAACAGAGCAAGACTCTGTCTGGAAAAAAACAAAAAAGGTGGGACATAACTGCCCTATGGCAGGATTTTCTTCAACAGTGCTTGTCTGCTTGGTTACACAGGGCATTGAGAGTTGTGGTTTTGCAGATGAGGTAAAAAAAGAGAGCATCGAATGAAATAACAACTATATAAGCTGGAAAAGGAAAGAAGTGAAAAGCAGAGAAGAAATGAAGAAAAAGGTCAATAATCTATGAATCCTGCTGTTGGAACAGAATGGTGAGAGTAGTTGCTAAGTATGATAAGCTGCTGATAAGAGTAATCAGAGTAGTTGGTAAGAAAGGGTATTACATAATTATATTGTGGAACACTATGTAGCAATTTAAAGAATGAAGATTTATATGCACTAACATGTAAAATTCTCCAAGATATACTGTTGAATAAAAAACCAAATTAGAAGTTAGCGTGTGTGTGTATGTGTGTGTCCCCTACCGAACTATGCAATTGGAAGGAAAAGGGCTTGCAATTTTTATTTTACTTTCCTATGGTTTGATATTTTTACACCTACTATGCTTTTAATTTTAAGAATATTTTAAAAAGCTACTTTCATGTTAGAAAAATGGTATTCATAATTCCTTTATGTAGAGATTCTACTGATAACATTGTATTTGTTTTTATCCAGTGTTTTTTGATGCAATTTTTTTTTACAAAAGGGAATCACATTGTGCATACTGTTTTTAATCAGCTTTTTAACCATTTCCATAGCATTAAATATTTCTCTAGTATCATTTTTAATGGCTGAATAGAGCCTGGTTGTTAAATATTTATGCTCCATCCAGTTCTTATTTCTACCAAAAACACTTACATAAAAATCTTGTAGCTATAATTTTGCAAACATCTATGACTATTTTCTTAGCATGAATCCCCTAAAGTAAAAATGCTAGTTTAAAGGTTTTTATGCAAAATTCAGAGGCATTCAACAGATAGGGCCAAACTGCCTTCCAGAAAGATTTAAAAATTCACACTCTCACCAACAGCATACAACAGTGGCTCCTTCCTTGCCATTTTGCCAACACTGAGAATATGATTTCTTTAAAATGTTGAAAATCTGGTTTTTAGTATCAGGTCACCAAAACTAGACTTATCTTTGAAGATAAGCATTTTTACAATTGTAACTCTATATTAAATTATATTTGCAAACTCAAATACTATAGTGATTACCTCAGAGCAGTCAGTTTGATTCTGTGGGATGAAGAAATCAGGAAAATATTAGTGTACCTATTGCAGACCTATTGCAAAGCTTCCGTTCTTTGCCAAGCAGTTGCACTAAAAGATTGAGGACTGGGTTTTCAAAGTCTCATTCTAGCCTCCAATGAGTATAATTATTGAAATTTAAATATAGCTTTAAAAACTGCGCATTGGACCTTTGTGCCATTGAAGAAGGTCAAGTTCAAGCCCCTTATTTAAAAAGACCTCTCCCTAAGAGATCACAAAAGGAAGCCTATTAACATTACATTTTTCCTTTTTTTCTTCTTTGTTCATTTTAAAACACAGCTAATACTGACTGAAAACTAAAATTGTAGAAAACAATCATGGCTTATACTTGGTTGATGCAGCATCAGAATTGAGTGTGCTGCCACTGAACTAACTGGACATGATTATTAGTGGAAATCTTTGTTGAATTATCCATCTAAACAAAGCCTCACTGTTTTGCTTTCTAAACACTACTAGAAAGGACCATTAAATATTGCCATCTTAAGCATTTTGGGCAATTCAAAGTTTGTTATGGCTAAAGTTTGATTACTAAACATTCTGTTATTCCTATAAAGGACACTGGTAAGTTTTCAAATAGAAATGCTGTTTGAAATGTTTTACCATTAAACTTCAAGACTATGAAATGGTCTAATTTTAAAAAATTATTTCTTTTGGAGAAACAAAAAAATATTTGCTTGCTATTGCTACAGTTATGCTGTATATATGCAAATGAAATAATAATCTACTGAGAAAAAGATGAAGATGATGGTTGCAAATGGTTTTACTGTGTGAACACAGCCATACTCTTCAAATTAATTATGACAGTGTTAACTTTTATTGTTCATTCTTATGTAAAAATTTCAAAAATGCTACAATGCTGAAAAAAGAGTAGCTGAGGGAGATCAAAGAGAATCAAAAACAATTGAAACCTCTGGTGTCTTAGCAGTTATCAAAGAAAATCACACATCTCTCAAGACATTCGATACTTATTTATTTCAGTAAAAACACACAGCTGAAGCCAAAAAAAGAAAAAAGATACCACAGTAAAATGCTATTTTTGCTCTGTAATTTCACCCAGGATCTTTTCAAATGTGTAAAGACCTGCTTATCTTACTTAAAAAATTATTACAGAACCCTAAAACTAAACTTTACTTTTTCTATTAATTATTTTTTTCATTATCAAGCTCCAATTATAAAAGGTCCACGTTAGCCATGTCTATTTCATTTTATTTCCAGCACAACTTTTTGTAATATAACAGCTTTGTCAAAATATTAAGTTGGTAGCTTCAGCTGAGTTACCAGGTAAGAGTGATGTGATGCCATGCAATAAAGAAGGTGCGGGACCATACGGAAATTTACCAAAGGGGATGTGCTAAAGCCTGGTTACAAATTTCCTGGAACCCCTCACCCACCTCAAGGATGTAAGTGTCACATTTGAGAGATGAAAGAGGAATTTCAGAGGAGGATCACTTTGAAAAGGACTGCTCTTGAGTCCATTTCCCAAGGGGGAGAGAGGACACTGCTGCCTCCTTACCCAAATCTAATGAAAGGCAGTTTGTGGCGGGGTGCAGTGGCTCACGCCTGTAATCCCAGCACTTTGGGAGGTCAAGGCGGGCAAATCACAAGGTCAGGAGTTCCAAGACCAGCCTGACCAACATGGCGAAACCACGTCTCTACCAAAAATACAAAATTAGCCAGGCGTGGCAGTGCATGCCTGTAATCCCAGCTATTTGGGAGGCTGAGGCAGGAGAATCACTTGAAGCAGGAGGTTGAGGTTGCAGTGAGCCATCTGAGATCCCTGCACCACTGAACTCCAGCCTGGGCAACAAGAGTGAAACTCAGAAAGGAAGGAAGAGAGGAAGGGAGGAAGGGAGGAAGGGAGGGAGGGAGGGAAGGAAGGGAAAAGCAGTTTGTTAGGGACCTTAAGCTACTGCTTGGCATATGTTCCTTGAAGTTGGGGGACTCCAGGGACCTGTGCTTGACTTTTCTAGGGGGAGTTAAAGGAGCCTGGGCAGCATAAAGGAAGAGGCATGGCTGGCCTGGGAGGTAATTGCACTTTCCACTGACAACAGATCAAATGTTCATGAACCCTAGAGTAAGAGAGTCAGATTGGAGCAATTTAAAGTTCTTCCCAAAGGATTTCTGAGAGAGTCTGTGCGGAGCAGACTGTAGAAAACCAGGGCTGAGAGAGAGTGGCTGCCAAAGGAGACACTACCCCATCAAGGGAGCTTCAGAGAGGCCCAACAGAGAAAACACTGAACAATCTCCCAAAGTGTCTGTGAGAGAAAGTACCATTTTTAAATGCCTGCCAGGTATAGAGAGGGTATCGCCATCTTAAAATGAACCCAGTTACGTGGGTTTTCTGCTTCCCTTATGCCTCTCCGCTCTAAGCTCTAGTGGGTTATGAATGGTCATAACAAGTCACAGAGTGAAGAGTGGGAAAAGAAAGAAGAGTTAATTTTAAATCATTTCATTAATATCCAAAGTGGAGTCTCTGATTTCTGAGATGAGACTGTGGCTAGAAGTGACCAGAGGGTTTTGTTATACAAAAAAGGACAGAAGAGTCAACAGGCCTTCTCTAGTTTTTAACTAGGGACAAGGAAAGCTACCATCTTTAAAGGGAGTGTGGAGAATAAAATTCTTTATTAGAATTATGCATTAGTCTGTTTTCACGCTGCTGATAAAGACATACCTGAGAGTGGGCAATTTACCAAAGAAAGAGGCTTAATGGACTTACAGTTCCACATGGCTGGTGAGGCTTCACAATCATGGTGGAAAGAGCAAGTCACATCTTACATGGATGGCAGCAGGCAAAGGGAGAGCTTGTTCAGAGAAACTCCCATTTTTAAACCATCAGATATCAAGACCAACCTGACCAACATGGTGAAACCCCATCTCTACTTAAAAAAAAAACAAAATTATCTGGGTGTGATGGTGGGTGCCTGTAATCCTAGCTACTCAGGAGGCTGAGGCAGGAGAATGGATTGGACTCAAGAGGCAGAGTTTGCAGTGAGCCGAGACCACAGCCACTGCACTCCACTGCACTCCAGCCTAGATGACAGGAGACTGTCTCAAAAAAACAAACAAACAAACGAAAAACCCCACAACAATCAGATCTCATGAGACCCACTCACCATCATGAGAACAACACAGCAAAGACTGGCACCCATGATTCAGTCATCTCCCACTGGGTCTCTCCCACATGTGGGAACTATGAGAGCTTCGAGATGAGATTTGGGTGGGGATACAGAGCCAAACCATATCAAATTACATCCCAGGAGTCCTAAATGCTCCCTTGCTTTGTTGAAACCACTTTCTCAATACCAATAGTTTTTAAAAGGCAATGTAACAATGTGAGAAAATGAGTGGATTTGTAATCACGAGATCTAAAATTGAATTCTGGGTTCACACCTAAAGAGCTAAGTGGCCTTGACCAAGTTATGAAACTCTCTGAACATCAGTTTTTTCATCCATAAATGTAAAAGATTGTAATAGTTAATTCCTACTTTTTTTTTCCCTCTTCTTAGTATTTTTCTTGGTTGAGTACTCCAGAGATTGTATCTAAGGGAAGGATTCTAGTGCAAACCTGCGGGTTGATTCCAGAAAACCTAGTAGAGAAGCAGGAATACATGACCTGAAATGAAATTAATAAAGAGTGTGCTATGAAGCCAGTTACCACTGGGCAACAGAAGCTCAGTCGTAGTGGGGAACTCAGGGAGAGATGGTGTAGACAAGCACTGTGCAATAGAAACACAATGCAAGCCAAATTGGTAGTTTAGAATTTTCTAG